AGTGGCGCGGCCCGCGAGAATGAAAAGCTCGGCTGCGCTCCTCCCCTCTATTTTCAAACAAAATGATCCGCACAGTCTTCCCCTACTGCAAACCTGGTGATGCCATGTTTTCCCGTAAACGTGGATCATGGATGGTTTTAAAATGCAAGGGCATTGCAAGGGGGTTGGGGGGGTGCAGCCCCGCCCCCCCACACATCTACTGTCTCGCACACATTTACTGGGACTCTTAACATTTTGCACGCAGTACACAATAGCGTGGGGTGCAGCCCCAACCCCCACTTGCAAACCACGGACGAAGATCGGAATATGTACCTTCCTACACACCTTTCACGTGATTTTTCACATTGCGCTCACATTTTAAAATGGCGGGGGGGGGGGAGGGGGCAATGTGCAAAACATGGCCCTGTACAATTTCACACACGCTCACACTCACACTTGTTTTTTACGCGCTGGGACAATAGGCATCACCAGCCAGGAACCTTTCAGGTTCCAGGGACGGCAGTCCCTCTACACCCACCACACTGGGGCGGGCGGGCGGGAAATCAAGACATGGATGGCCGTTCACAAATGCCAGCAGCCAGACAAGGTACAACAACCATAACCTGTCTGCTAGACGCTCACAACATGCTGAGCAATCAAGTACGGGCGCATGAGAAAGACAGGGCCGCAGTCACGTTTAGTAACAGCGCTACGAAGATAAGAACATACAGCTTCTTGCACGCTTTTGACCGATTCCTTAGCCATCTGCATGCACCCCAATATGGGACTTTACACTTCATTTTCTGCAGAGTCTCAAGACTAAATGCTGTCGTGCGTGTACCTTCTTGCGCATCTTTCATGGGAGTTCTTAGCATTGTGCTTGCAGTACAAAACAGCGCGGGGGTTGAGTCCTCCCTCCCTTTCTGCGTCCTTCCGTCCCGGTTGCTTTCTGTGTCTATACATACGAAAATGTGTTCATCGGAAAGGCTGTTGTCGATGCCTTTTGCCTTTTCTTGCCCTCCTGCTTCCTGTGTCTATATCAAGCGAAAAGCAATTTTGGTTCTAAGAAGCTTGTTGATCGTAAAAATCGTTTGTTTACAAAAATCATTTGATGCGCATCCTGCAAATCTAGCCATGCACAGCCTACTTAGGTCTTCTTGAGAAACCATGAAATTGAATATCGAAGCAATTTCATGGAATTCCCAACAGCCCAGGACTTCAAGGTTAGCAAGGCTTGTACGGTCCTTCAACACAAACAACCCTGTACCCCTGCTACAAGGCACGCCGGCAGGACCACTGCGAAACGGCAGTGTGCCTCAATTGTGGGGCTTTTAGCCGAGGCGAAGGCTGATTGCGGTAAATTAAGTAACATGTAATAAATCCGTACAAAGACCCAGAATTCCGTGCTAGCTCCATGAAACGCCTCTCCCATGAAGCGCCTCTCTGACACGGCATGCTGGGCCATCCGCTGCCAATACTAGCCAGGTGGTGATGTTTGACTGCCCAAATAATGTGGGACTTATGTGTGCCAGTTCTTGTCTTTGGAAGAGCCTACCCAAATTTTGGGTCCCAAAACCCTAAACCCTAAACCCTAAACCCCAAACAAGTGCTTCGGAACTTCTTGTCAGTTGGTGCTGGCTGCCCTGACCCTGCCCTCAGCAGCCAATTCTTCTAGACTTCAACCTGGCATCCCCAAGGAATAAGGGAATATATTGGGGTTATGTAGGGATAATGGAAAAGAAAATGGAAAATACTACATTATCATAGGAGATATATACATATATACACAGCTAAGCCAGACGCCTCCTCGCTTGCCACTTCCTGGCTCAACCATGAATTCTGAAATGGGGAAAGGCCGTGGATTCAAATTTTGTTGGTTTTGAAACAAATGGGGGTTTCCCAAAATTAGGGGTACCCTTTTGGGTGTCCCAATAACATGGATTATTGCATTTTGGGCTCCATATTGGGGTCCCCTTATTTATGGAAAGTACCTATTTCCCAGCAACAATCTATACCTAAGAGGCCCTATTTGTCTTGCGCCCCGGTCCACGATTCGATGGTGTAGATTGGCTTCAAGGGCACAAGAACCTATTCATGAAAATCGTTGCTTGGCTGGAAAGGTCCTCATCGAAAGGAGGGACCTCTATGCAAGTCGTGCACTAGCGGGCTGAACTTTTTTAACAGACGAAACTGGCTCTCTAAAAGGCTGGGAGAACTTTACTCAAGATTCGTCATGGTCACTAGACGGCCCCCAGCATAGGCCCGAAAGCAGTGGCATTCTTCTAGAAGGATCTTCGAGAAGCTCTTTGGAGAAAAATTTGAGATATCTAGCTTCTAGGTCTCAAGCAGTACGTACCGAAGCCTCCACGACAAACATAAATCAGTCAAACACAAGTTACGAGATTGAATAGGTCTGGGACCCGGTGCTCAACCCCGAGCCCAAGATCAGAAGCAGAAGCGCATACCTTGAAGGGGTTTATACGGGTTATGTAGGGATATAAAGGGACTTTGGGATAGTGGACAAGAAAATGAAAAACTACTGTTTGGGGTTGGGATTCATTGCTTCCCGCAGAACTACAAGCAAGAACGCCCGACCTATGATGATCCAGACTGCTCCCAACTGTAGAAGACAAGCTTGAAAACCCCCCTTGACAAGCAAATGGCGCAATGCAGACAAGTGTCGCTAGATCTGAACAAGATTCGCACAAGATGCCTTGCATGGGGATCAAGAGACTTGAAGTGGACTAGAACCTTTAGGATTCAAGATCACATGAACAATTACTAACTAAAGAATGCCAAACAGAAAGCGGAGGATGTAGAAGGATCACGGGGCTCCTGATCAGGTCTGCAACACATGTCCATGAATTGGGATACATCCCGATCCCGCAAACACGCTTCAGCAAACTTAGCAGTTCGCAAAGCCCTCAACACAGATGGTCTGGCAATTGCCAGGCTAGGTCACGTGCCGACTTCCTGGCATTTCGCGAGCCCCTATGACGAGGTCCGATAGCACTTCGCGGTATGCAAAGGAAACTATCTGACGATCTCCTGCATACACTCCACGTTACGCAATACTTCGGATGAGAGCATGGGCCTCGATACCACAAAAAGGCGCCAAACAAAGATCAAAGTTCCTCCAGTGATCTCCAGTGTACTGTATACCCAGTAGGCCAACAAGAATGAGTTTTCACTGCGGCCTGAGGTGTGTGGGAAACGCATAACTGCAATCTGCATCTGGGCTGCCGGACTGTGGCACTGTGTAAACCTTGCCTGTGGTCGAAAGGCTGTTGAGGCTCCCAAGCTTGGCTGTGCCAGTAGATGGTGGCATACTCTCGACTTTATGGGCTATTGCTTCAAGGCCGGCAAGTGTATAACAGAACAAAACAAATCTTAGCACAACATGCGCAGCCCTACCCAACAGTATTTTACATGGGTAAGGAGGGTAGCGCATATGTTCAGCCACCACCAATTCAAGCCTCCAACTGCCCAACCTGATCTAAAGAGGATGTCGCGCCTTCCCGACAACTGATATCCTATCTCGCGGCGGATGGCAAAGAAGTAAACTTATGACCTGCTGGGATCCAAACCCTCATTTTTTGGGAGCCAAGAACAAGCTTGCTCAGGCAAGGTGAACCATTCCGTCGCTACCCTGTGCCGCAAAACATTCAACCCCCAGGCTCTCCTCCGTGGCCACGCTACATCCTCACAAGCCACATACTAAGACTCAGCCCTGAACGACACAGCAAGGAAGTGAAGTCAAGCAATACGCAGACCTGAATACGAAAAATTTCGATGCTTGCTTGCTTGCATCTTGGAAAATCATCTGCTTATGCAAAGCCATTTTCGACAACCTGAACAGAAACTAGCAACGCGCATCAAGCAACGCTGAAACAGTGCCTGGCGCTACTTTCATGGCCATGGCCTGCATCCAATGTACGTTCAGTTCAGGTGCTTCAGGCTCAGGCCCCAAGGACTTCAAGCTTAGACCTCAGACAAGGACAAGACAAGAACAGACAGACAGACCAAACAGTAAAAAAGCAAGCCCTTGGGCCTGGATTTCTGAGCAATTGATGTCTTCAAGGGCTTGTTGGGGATGATGCCTCTCTTGGGAACCCGCTTAGTGCAGGACTTGGCCCATCAAGTTTGGAGCAGGAGTCAGCGGAACCAAATTTGAATCCATTCAGATTCCCTCTGTGGGGTCGGCTTCGGAGGACCATGGAGCGCTTATATGGGCATTTCCCAAAATTAGGGGTACCCTTTTTGGGGGTTCCCGTAACAAGGACTATAGTATTTCTGGGTCTATATTGGGGTCCCCCTATTTAGGGAAACTACCATATAGGAGTTTGAGAAGGATGAAAGAATGTGATACGGAACAGATTGCTTCTCAAGGTTATTGGTTTTTCTGTGAGGGATCTGTGACCACAAAATGCCAGACCCAGTTTTCAACAGAATCACGAATCTCAGGGCCTTCTGGGTGGGTATGCCGCGATTTCCGGGGTGCACAGCGCTCTACATGTGGAGGCCGGTTGGCAAGTATACTGGAATTACTCTGTTTACGCTTCAGAACTAAAATAGGGTATGTACAATCGTGTTTATTCCGAGCGATGAAACCTAGGTAGGATCTTCAGGGTCGACCGTCCATGCCACTTTTGCAAAAACTCCAGCTACTTGGCTTGGACCACGACGGAGCGGAGACCCTCACAGAATTCGGAGACTTCCTCGTGATAAGGAAAGGTGGATGGAGTATAGGGACCATTTTGAGGGGTACTGGGACTTCTTTAGGGATCCTTTCCATTCCCTCCTTCCTGCACCGAGTCATCCAGGCATGACAGCGCTGCACAACGAGTGTGCGCAAGAAGGTCTGTTGTTTTAATTGATATCAGGTGCCTGTTATACACCTCACTTCCATTGTCCTAACGACATGGCTAAAAAGGGACTGACAACGTTGACAAGCTCTCGATCTAGCTGGCATTAGCTTCCAACGTGCCATCTCGAATGCAGCAGCCCCGAAAGCTACCTGCCTGCGCGTCTTTGGGGCAGTTCCATGGCAGCAGAACGCTGTCAAAGCGTATCCTGGAGGACTGGATATTTGTTTTAACCAACATTTGGTGGAAGCGTCTTTGCACGCTATGTGGGGTGCAAAATTGAAAGTCACGACCCGGACTCTGGTATGAGACAGGCTCGGTGCCGGTGAAGCTGCTTTGCCTTTGCAGCCGATTCAAGTTACGCAGGTCGGGAGAAAAGCTGCTTTTATTAAGCACAAGAAATTCACCAACCACCCGATACTGAACAAGCTATGCTTGCAGGCCTCGTTGAGGGCCTGTTTTAGGTAAACAAACAAGAAAGTAATTCTCTCTAGGATGGATCTGCAACACTGCTTTGCTTTTTGGGGGGCGACAAATCTTGCTCTCGTAAGCTCAAAGTAGACGTCAGGGTGCTCCAAGAGCCCCAGAAAGGACCAACAGTCCTGAGAACCTGACACATAGATTCCAATCCCTATAGGCCTCGTCTACCCCCTGAGCATCGGAACACCTACATTAATTACACACGGATTCAAGATTCGGATGTTTTTTTCAGGGCCCAAGATGTCTTCTCAGGGCCATTTCTTTGCCTTACAGTCCCTGTACAGGGTTCCCACAAAAAAGGCCAGAAATTTGGCAAACGCATATATACAGCATGTGTCACGGGGTATCACATACACAGGTCAGAAAGACAATCTCTCAGCCCACAGGTACAAGCAACAGCTTCACCAAAAAGTCAATGAAACATGCTGCTGCCCTAAACTCTACTTCCACCCCAAAAGAAGCCCTGAAGTCGATAGGACTGCCTTCTTGTCGTAGTAAATCAAATCGCAACTTCAAGTTCCGTATTGGGGTTCGAGCATAGAATACACATTAAAACCACAAAAAGAACCCAGGAAAGCAAAGTACCAAATCCTTTTCCTAGTTTCCATTTCATGTTTGATTTGTTAGGGGGGAAAACTCCTCTTCCCTAAACCCAAATGAGAAGCATCTATATAGCCCCAAGCGCAACCCCAGTTTCCATTCTGTTTTCCATGTGAATCCCCATCATTTTAACACCTCTAATATCTGTCCCTACAATGATCCCACAATATCCCTGTGCAACCCGATATAATTCCACATACACACATATATGAACCCTATATGAGCCATAGTCTAAACTCCTAGTAGCCCCCTTAACAACCCCTATATATTCCCCTATATAACCCCCTTTTAAAGAGTTTAGACTATACCTCATACATATATATATATACATACATAACTATATAGATATATATTCCTCAGCCCTTGGGCCGTGCCAAACCCTAGCTCAGCCCTCTCCGGAAGGGCCTTGCCCCTGCCGCCGATGCCTGACAGGACCCCATGGAAGTTCACGGCCAAACCCAACAAAATCTAGCACGCAACAGAACCTTCAACACTTTCAATGTCTTGCACCCCAACGTCACAGGACATGGTCTTCCAAACCTGCAATCCCAAGTATGCAGCCAAACCCATGCCCGACGAAAAAAACAAAACTGAAAGCCGCGCCAAGCAAGTTGGAACAGCAACGGTATGGATAAGCGTCACCGTTGAGGTAGGAATCATTTCTTAAAGGGTGCTTTGGGATCCTAAGCATTGTCCGTGGCCATCTTATGGCTTTATGACAACCCTGACTTGCAGGAGTTGCTTAACTACCACAGGGTTACATTGGGGTTATATAGGGTTTAGGGATACTATCCCAATAATGGAGAACAAACGCTTCCGCCTCCATTGCCCTTTGCAAACAGCCCAGGCCATGATGGACACCGACCTCAGCTTCAACGTGACGTACTTGGTCAGTGATGTGGACATGATAAGGCGCCCCTCGTAAATCAGGGTTTAGGGCTTGGGGCTTCAAAACAGCCTGTGTGAAGTTCCAAGTCTGTTTACGCAGGGAGTACGGATTAGGACTTATGTGATTCGAAGGGTCGAGAACAGAAACCGGTCAACAGCACCAAGCACCAGCTACACCAAAAGTCCTACTATCATAAAGACTCGGCAGACTTCCGTCCCTCTCCAGCAACCAATTTCAACATCGCCTGAATGCCCAGAAAGTCCACGAGGGCTTGGCTGCACAGGGAAGCTCTTCCTGTTCGCACACCAAACTTCTGCTTCCGGGGTAGGGCCCCCCCTCTTGAGGTTATTCAGGCTTTGCAGGCTTTGCGTTTCAGATGTCAGGGATGGAGACGGGTTTTATAAATCAGGTTCTGGCAGGCCTTTTTAGGGACCTGTGTTTCTGAGAACGAGGCAAACTTTGATATATCAACACTGGCCAGGGCTACGGAAATCTAACTTGAGGGGCCAGTTGGGTGTAGAGTAGGGCCTACAAAATCTGTACAAAAGGTTGGCATATTACGCAACACTAGCTTTGTAGAAAAACAATAAGTATAGGAGACTGTAGGATGTCTGGGGTCTTTCCCTGCATATCAGCCTTTAATCCTACAGCCCCTACATCAACCCTATTTCAGTTTCATGTCCTTGAGCATTTCTATCTCCATGGGTCTGCCGTCTACCCCAAGGCGGAAAAATCCGCATATAATCCAAAACACCTGAATACTACAAAATCCTTACAATCCTGGATACACTCATAGACCAGGGGTCCATGTCGCGACAAAAAACATCCCGAGCCTCGAGTGCAGCGCTGCCCGAGCGCCTTCGCAGCGTTCGGGCGAGGCGAGGGGCCTCGGCCAGAACTGAAGCAATGGAAAAGAAAGTGGAAACTATTATGACGGGTCATATAGGGATTACTAAGGGATCGATTCCTTCATTCCCAGCTAACGAAGATAGTGGTAATAAGAGCCGGTATATGAGAATAATGATAATAGTAACATTGATAATAGCTGTCAGGGTTTAGGGTCGAGGGCGAGATAAGGCTTTCTGCCGCTTGTATGGTTTAGGGTTTAGGGTTGGGTAGAGGAAGAAGGGAGAATCAACCGGAAAAAGGGACATGAACATGGAAACTACATCTATCGAGTGGTTTATGGGTTTCGTTCGGAGCTATAGTAGGCAAAACGCGAGCCATGACCGGGTTACAGTCTCTGGTAGTGACCATTTTACATGTATGTGGAATAAACCTGCTAGGCTAAAAGTGTTGGGTTTGTGGGTAACAGTAAGATTCAGGATATAAGGCTTGGGACTAAAAGCCCTGTGGGGGCAATCTCAGTTTTCGCAGAGAGAATGTATCTTCCAAACGCAATGCATGCAGGAATTGCTCTGCTCAAAATGGAAAAAGCTTCTTGAAGCCCGTGTACAATTTCTGACCGGAGCTTCCATCGGCTTCCGTGGTCTATACTTCACGTATACCCCATGTTGAAAAGGCTTGCAAGGACGCCAGCGAAACTCTTGGCAAATGCAGGGTGATGCAGGGTGTGATTTGCAGAAGTCGAGGACCATCTGCATTGAGAAGGGCCTAGGGCACATATGTTGCTTCTGGAACCCCCCTAACGAATAGAAGCTTGGAAGGGATCACTTTCGCCATCTGAGCCGCGCATAGCTATACCAGAGTATACCCTCATGTCACTGCGCAACTTCCTACATTATGGGGTACGTAGTTGAAGGACTCAACCCGTTTATGCGCACAGACAGAGGATGCCTTCACTACCACAAGTTAAGCTGTACTTCTACGACGCCAAGCTTGCCCCAACACGGCCAGTCCACATAAACCCAAGAAACTTTACCCTATATGCTGTTTCATCAAATCTAGAGAGCGGGCCTTGATCTGGCTGCTATTAACCATCTAGGGTTTAGGATTTAGGGGGGTTCGCGTAAACCGACCTTCTGTGGCGATTTTCTCGAAACTCAAGGCTCTCACGTCTCCTCTGCTTACTGGGGGATGTGTTAGGTCGACCCCCCATCCAGTAGTAGTGACTACTATGAATAGGGATTATATTCGGGTCCTCTTGTATTCTTATTAGACCACTATTACTGGGTGGGGCGTCCTCGTAAGGGATGTCTTCCTGTAGTAGGCGCGTAACCCCTAACTATAATCATCCTTTTTGAGTCTCTGTATCCCATTACTCCAATCCCACCGCGCTTCCTCTCGAGTTTAGGTATAACCTACTACAGTCCCTAAACACCAAAATTGGAATCCCCATACTTAAAACAGAGACCAGTTTCCATAAATTGGGCGACCCCAATATAGAGCCAGAAATACTACCATCCTTATTCTAGGACCCCGCAAAGGCACCCTGGGAAACCCTAAACCCTCCATAATGCTACACATAAACATATGTATATACACACAGACATGCATACAGACATTCATACAAACATACATGCATACATATATACCTGTGTTAACACTAAACCCTGAAGCCTAAATCCTGTTCAACCGAAACGCTGCTCCGGGACCCTAAACCCTGAACCCTAAAATCCTAAACCCTAGAGCCCAAATACCCTAAACCCAAAACCCTCAACCCCAAACACCACAAACCCAAAACCCTAAACCTCAAACACCACAAACCCAAAACCCTAAACCTCAAACCCCCCAAACCCAACACCCTAAACACAAAACCCTAAAGCCCAAACACCACAAACCCAAAACCCTCTCTCCCCAAAGCCAAAACCCTAAACCCCAAACACCCAAAACCCCAAACGCCCCAAACCCAAAACCCCAAACACCCCAAACCCACGAAACACCCCAAACCCAAAATCCCAAACATCCCCATCTAAAGAGATCATCAGTCTGCATAGGAGCAGGCCTCTCTGGATTGAAGGCCTGCAACAGCCAGGACCTGGAGAGATTCGAAAGCCATAACTCCCCCCCTTTTGCTTAATAAACCCCTATATAGGGTATATTTTTGGGGTTATACAGGGATAATGGAAAAGAAAATAGAAACTACTACTTAGGGTTTGGGGTTTAGGGTTTCGGGTTTAGGGGTTTGGGAAAGGGTGATGTGGGGGAAAGGGTGATATGGAACCTGAGGGTTATAAGTGCATATGTTTGAGAACTGTGCATCACCACACCTCTCTGTCTTTTGGTAATATAGGAGTTCTATGGGGGCAATGGAAAAGAAAATTGGAACTAATCTATTAGATAGGGTCAGAAAATCCTCAAGATACTCTCTACACCATCATGCAATTATCTGAGATAAACTCCTTTGGCTAATTTAATGTTTCCTTTCTCAAAGTTTCTTGTCGAATTCTTCTGAAAAGTTGTGTTCTAGATTTTCTACAAGTCTTTGCATCTACATCTTCCCTCATGGGCTGCAAGCACGCATAAGGACTCGGGTTTAGGGTTGACTTAATTACTGGTGCTCAGCACCGGATGGAGGAGTGGCATACTATAAGTGTTCGTGTCGGGGTTCCCAGAAAATAGACCCCTACTTGTTGAATTTGGGAATTGCGGATTCTGCTGAATTATGCTAATGCCCTGAGGGTCATAGAGGAGCGGTCGAGAATTGTGTTCGGGCCAAGGGCGGGGTGCACTGCGTGCATTTATTTGTGTGGCATCAAGGCTCGAAAGGCCGAAGCCGAAAGCGATGAAAGTCCAAAGAACGGGTTCAGAGTTGACCTAAACCCCGACAGTATGTAAACTAATAGCCCTAAACCCATAATAACAGTCATAAAGGCCATTATTTTACCTACTGTGTGGGTCCAGGTAGGGGTTTTAGGGTTTAGGGTCTAGGGCAGTGTAGGCTTGAACATATTTCACTTTACTGAGCTGCTGTCGAGGAACTTATATTGGTGAAACCACAGGTGTATTTACAATATATACTCACCATGGTATCTTAACTTAAGCCCCTGAACGGCAACCCAGTTTACTCTTATGATCACTCTTTACAAGCTCTGCCTTTCCTCTTCCTCACAAGCAGCCAGGAAAACGCCCAATTCCATAGAATGGAAACTGGAAGTAGGCTTGCAGGCACACCTAAGGGATTTCCCAAGGAATTGCTTGAATCATGCACTATGGATCCTGGTACCTTTCCAGTATTTGAAGCAACCCTAACTGAGCATAGTCTGAACACCTAATATCCCTTCATAACCCCAATAAAAACAGGGGTTCTTAATGGCGATTGTCTAAAGTTTTTTGAGAAATTCCTGTCTATGTATATGCAGCACCCAAGGTGCCACACCCTATTCATTCTGATATTGAAAAGGCTGTATGTCGCTTGACTTTTCCCTTCCCCTGATAGAACCTTCCCATCATAGCAAGCATTCTCACGTTGTGCAATGTTGCTACACACGGAATTTTGTTTTTAGGGTAAGGGGCGAAACAATTGTAGGGACCAGAAGAATTAGAAGGATTTATCATAGATCCTGAACCAAACCCTGAGCACAAAATCCTGTCGAAAAGTGTACCAAGGCTAAACCCTAAACCCTAGATGATAATACACCAAGGGTCCCTAAGGACTCCCTTTTTGGGAAACTCCCACATATTTGGGGGGTGCTTCAGACCTGAGCCTGAAGCACAGAATGAGCATGGTCATTCGGAATCCTAACCAGGGCATGAATGCGTAGGACTAAACGGTAATTCGGCAACTGTAAGAGAAACGCTCAATGAATTGCGAAATCCACCCTTAGCCTTAGACTCACGCCCACACCCCAAGAAGAAATACACGAGAATGCCAAGGTTTGAACCCAACCGCTGAGGGTGCTGCAGGGGATGATACAAATCCCTTACTGTCGATTGGTGAATGATGGTCAACAAATAAAGGTGTGCCGCAAGTCTTTTGTCCAAAGGCTTACTCCCTGCTTGGAAACCTTGTCGCGGTACTTGCGCACGTCCCTCCGATGCTTTGGGCCTTAGTTGAGCAGAGCTGGGCCAGACCATCCCAAGGCTAAGCGCATGAACTTGGAAACACGGGATTATATTAGGGTTATATAGGGATGATATTAGGGTTATATTAGGGTTATATAGGGATTATATTAGGGTTATATTAGGGTTATATTAGAATTATATCAGGGTTATATTAGGGTTATATAGGGATTATATTAGGTGCATAAGAAGCTGGCCTTTAGCAACAGGATCTTGCTCAAAAGGAAACGAAGTCCAAGATTGAATGCGCATCCCTCCGAGGCGCATGAGCACATAAACACAAACAGCAGACCTCATGAGGTCAAAGTACACTAGCCGCTGGCCGAGCCGGTTTGCAGCAGCACGATTTCGGGTTTAGGGTTTGCAAGGATGGACCAACAACAATGCTCGGTTCTTGCTGCTACGGTTTTGTTAAAGCCATCAAAGTCCAACTATATTTAGCCTCGCTACTTCTGCAAGCTATTATGATAAAGATGTTGTGATTGCCAATCTTGTCACTTTGACCCCTCTTGGATTCCCAAGAGACCTGGAGCTGTCATCGAGAATGTAGGAGCCAGAGACTCAAACATATTTGTTCTCCAAACCCTTTCCAGAAGCATATACTATGATATGCACCAACCCTAGTCTTACCATCTAGGCCCCTACATTAGGCAGCATACCATACATCGCTGCATGTTATCTGTGTTGTCTGTATGTATCAGAGATGTGGGGCGCCAGAAGATGCATACAGAATATTGTCGTTTGCTTCTCGACTGTCCTAGGGATTCCTAATTTCGTTGAAAACCACACAGTCCTACTAAACTTTGTGCCCTGCACTCCAACTTCCATACGAAAACCTGTGCACACTAATTACGATAACCCCTATCATAGGGGACCCCGAGAAGGGACCCAATATATTTGAGACGGGTGGACCCCCTATAAGAACCCTGCCCTAAACCGCCCTAACCATTCTTCATCCAGCCTGCAAAGCCTCTGCTGGGCAAGAAATCCTACACTCTGATCCTCCAAACCCCAACCGCCAATGAAGTGCAAGTTCTTTCGTCATCTCAGGCCACTGGCTGTAAAGTGCGAGCCTCGGGTCGCGTAAGTCCTGCAAGGCGTTTTCAAAAGGCTCAACCCTGGCCACACTCCTCATCCCTTGCAATTAATACCTCAGAACCGTAGCAAAGACAAGGACGGTAATGATAATGGCCATGGAACAACTAGCCTTCAATCAACATGACAAGAACAAAGGTGCTCAGCACATTGGCGTTCCGAGAATTTTGAGTTACGGGGCCGTTCAACATGTGTACTGGCGTACACGGATCTTGTGGAGTAGGGGAAGGATCCCACAGGCAATCAACATTGACCCTGCTAGCGGGGTAATCCTAAACCCTAGCCACTAAACCCTCATCATGCTGCCTGGTTCCAGCGAAGGGCTCAAGTCCCCGGTTTGCAGTCGATCGGGAAGAGCAGTTGCTCTTGCTGTTTCACTACACAGGTGTAGATACTTGTTGACTGTAAGAGTGGGAAAGGAATTCGAAGTCCAAAGTGTCAGCTCGTAGTTCTTGCTGGGCACAAATCTCTCCAAATCATGGCTGAAGTTACATCTTGTCAACGGAATTTAAGGAATTTGAATGGGTCCTCACGTCCTCACGCCAATGAGAGTACGGCAAGGTTCAAGGCCTACTCCAAGGAAGAATAAACCTAGTGGCTCGGGCGCCAAGTGCAAGATATGGGCAAAGTGCAAGATATGGGGGGGGTTGCTGTTGAGTCGCTATATGGGGGAGGCTGGTGACCCTGCCTGGGACTCAGGCCATGAAAGCATCAATCAATGAAAGCATCGATCAATATGATTTCTGTAGAAACAAGTTAGACAACGGCACGCAGACACCTGAACGGAACTGTTCATCTCCGCCTACTGTTCTCTGTGAAACAGCCCCCGCTAACATCACATATGTCCCTGAATTTCTTTGGGATGCTACAGGGAACATTACAAACTGGGGTGGCGATAGCTCAGCATAAATGGGGAGGTGACTGCCCATGCAAGCAGACACTGACTTGAACTGACTCCCTTGCGCCTGAAGAAGCTGCGGCCGTAGCGTTCCGGGCTCAGAAGAGGCCCTGGGCTAGGCCACCCACTGGCGGTTTATTTACATCTGGTTAGCAGGGAATGAAGGAATGGAAAAGAAAATAGGATGTTAAAGAGGACTATTTAGGGACTGCTATGAGGATCCATTCTTTTGCTCAAAGGTAACCAGAGGCAACTTTAGGTTGTAAGTTGTAGGGTGTAGGTTTAGGGAATCCAGATGGCAGGCTGTTCGACTGGTCTCGGAAACGGAAATGCCTCTTGGGTAGACATGAGGTCTACAAGTTTATCTTTGGGTGTTTGCTTTCTTGCGTTGTGGCCATTCTGGGAACTGCATCTCTGTTGTCCGGGTTGCTGTTAAGGAACTTAATTCAAGTTACTATATTGGAGAAGCGATATTACTTACTATATATACCCAATATGGTAGCTAAATTTAAGCTTCCTTAACCGCAAACCAGTTGCCGACTACCATCTGCTAGATCCCACCGATTGACTGCACGGAGCGTTGGGCTTCATTGATCCTTGGCCCCTGCACGGAATCCGAAAATGCCACAGATGGATCTAAATCATCCTCTCACCTACGATAAGGGATCATTGGGCAATTCATCTTAGGATCCGGTCTTTGCACGTGCAGAACATGTCCCACTTCATGTGTTGAGGCCGCTCACGATTCAAGAAGTTCGTCCTGATTGCAGGAGGCTAGACTAAAACTTGTCTCAGGATCTATTGGGGCAACTGTACTTCTTGTACTGAGCATCCTATATTTGGGCTGGGTTGAATATTCGTGAGACAAGATCCACAACCTCGCCAAGCGACGTGTCAGGGCCCCTGGTGATGCTGCAGAATGCCAATGCCAGAAGAAGCCAGCGCCTTTCCGAGCAAAGGGTTCCGGCAATAGTAGCAGCTCTGTGCCTGAGGAAGCATTGGTACGGGTAACATCTTGAGTGCTCTCCTACCTATGGTCCCCCTTGAGTAGATAGAATATGGGGTATATGGGGATCTTATAATACCGTACCCAAAGCCATGTTCTATCTACTTAAGAGGGACTATAGGTGTCCGTAACAGTTCTGTCTTGACTCAAAGAAGCATGTCATCACCGCACCTGGTGCGCGGTCCGAAGCAAAACCATCTGCCATCAGTATCCTTCTACCTTCCGTACCGACCCCGAAACCGCCCAGAACCTCAAAACCTGGATCCTGTTTACAAGCAAACTGCCTCAAAGCGATGGAGGAGAAAACGCAAAGTCGTACTACTAGCCGAGAAATGTGGCTTAATCTGAATCAAACACTTGAGCCCACCTCTAACCCCCTCCGCCTAATGGTGCTAGTGATATTTGTCGCTCAGAGGAGGGGGGTACTGCTAGCTAGGGAAAGGAAAATACATGCCGTGAAGAAAAGGTTTTGACCTTCCCTGCAACCCCTGATAGAATTCAACTTCTTGCAGCGTTTTCGAATATGAAACATCAAACAGCCAAACAAAAAGCTAGAGAACTTCTAGACTTCCGCCTAGGCCCCTGCCCGAATCCTGACCTGACATGGCTCTCACCGTAAATAACAGATTCACGACTTTTAACAGCTGGGAGCTCTCTGACAACTGAGAGCGCAGCTGAAGGATCACTTGGGCAAGCTGTATGGGGTGTCAATCTAACACGTGCTGTTACACGCTCTCAGGCCGCGTCAATTACACGACAAAACTAATAATGCCTTTCGGTTCCATCTCCATGTCTTGAAAGGATGGGCAGGCCCTACGCAAGGAAAGACTCAAACAAAAAAGCTGGGGTCTTAGCAAGCACGACTCGAACAAAATGCATCTTTTTTGTGTCCGAAAGTCGGCACGCAATCATGGGTCTTGAAATAGGCTGGGAAGGTCTCGCAAGACTGCGTGGCATGCTCAAGAAGACATGATGAGCCACCTAAGGTCCCCCCATAGAGTAATTCTGAGGGGCGGGGGAGGTGTCCTCATCTTTGGTATCTTCAGTGCCTGAATCTGACCTTTTTAGGATGTTTACTCGAGGACTGAGGGTTCTAGCTAACCCAGACCTTAAGCGCCAGCCTAAACCACAGACCTCATAGCTAGACTGTGACTGCAACCCTAAACCCTCAACCCCCAGCCTTAAACCCCAAATCCTACATGGGTGGCCTTGCCTAGGTGGACTACCAATGCAAGGGTTTTTTGGCCAGCGGTTTTGTAGGGGCAAGAGAACCAAAACAGCAGAATTGGGCTACGTGAGCTCTGAGCCTTGAATCCTAAATAATGTGGTAGTTTCTATATCCCCCTATGCGCTCTCTCAAGGAATCCCACACCCTAACCCCTAAAGCCTGAACCCTTTACCCTAATACCTTAAACCTAAACTCTACATTGAACCCCTAACCCTGAACCCTAAACCCCAGACCCTAAACACTAAAACCCTAACCCCTAACCCTAAACCCTAAACTAAAACCCCTAAGCCTGAAAACCCGCAAGTTTCTACATCATGCCGGAGCTTCCTTTCCCACCAGCCTCCTATTCGCGGCCGACAGGCTATTCTGTACCTTAACCTTCTCTTCTTCATCTGGCTGGCATACAGCTCCCCTAAAGGGGGTTTATTCATAATGGAATATATGGGGGGATAATTTGGGATGTAATTGAATGAAAGTATACAGTTTATGGTTGAGGGTCTACATTGCCCCCAAGCTAGCATGGAAGCCCAGAAGAGGCGCCACAAAGACTACTGTCCCTCGAAAAGGAGTTTAGGAAGTTGAGGGTTTCGGGTGTCTGTTTGGGGGAGGACCGCCGGGTCCTAATATACTATAACATACTATAACA